GAGGAGCTCAGGAAATATATACATTATGGCCACTAGATGGGGAGGAGCTCAGGAAATATATACATTATGGCCACTAGATGGGGAGGAGCTCAGGAAATATATACATTATGGCCACTAGATGGGGAGAAGCTCAGGAAATAAATACATTATGGCCACTAGATGGGGAGGAGCTCAGGAAATATATACATTATGGCCACTAGATGGGGGAGGAGCTCAGGAAATATATACAATATGACCACTAGATGGAGCCGAGGAGCTCCAGAAATATATACATTATGGCCACTAGATGGGGAGGAGCTCAGGAAATATATACATTATGGCCACTAGATGGTGGAGGAGCTCAGGAAATATATACATTATGGCCACTAGATGGGGAGAAGCTCAGGAAATAAATACATTATGGCCACTAGATGGGGAGGAGCTCAGGAAATATATACATTATGGCCACTAGATGGGGAGGAGCTCAGGAAATATATACATTATGGCCACTAGATGGGGAGGAGCTCAGGAAATATATACATTATGGCCACTAGATGGGGAGGAGCTCAGGAAATATATACATTACATAATATTATAATTGCGAAGTAATAATATTTATTATTTGTATTATTGTTAGAAAAATAAGTGTAAATATTTTGTGACAAACAATTGGGAATTGTCTCCATGTTATCTCACACGTTTCGGGGTTCTCTCTGCGTTTTATGTCACGATTTTCACTAAAATTTCAGGGGGAAAAAAAACAAAACAATTTTGTTTGGGAACGGTGACATCTTATGGGGCCCCATCCTGGTTTTTCTATGGGGCCCTGTGATTCCTGGACGCGCCCTGTGGTGGCAGTCTACATGTCGTTCCCGGGTCCCCCCCCCTCAAGCGGTTTGGCCTGGGTGAGAAATGTGCGGAATGCGCTGTGACGTCCTGACACAAACACACGGAAAAATAAAGAAAACCTTGTGAGGAATTTCCAGCGGGCGGCCAGGAAAATCCTCCCATCCTGTGCGAGCCGGGAACAGGCTGTGCCGGAGGAGAGGACATGGGAGGAGATCAGGG